TGAATTTCTCCATTTTGAAATTTTCAGGTACATACTAGAAATTGTCCTCTGTGAGATTTCCTCTTCTTTTTTTCTTTATTGAGTTATAATTAACAAATAACATTATACCGAGGTTTCTTCTTAATTGCCTGCAAGATTTCATGAAATTAGCATCTACTGTATACCTTCACCTTGCAACCTAGCTGGGGGACTCTCATCAAATTGCCAAGCGAGTAAACAAATAAATAAATTTCTCTTTGTGGAAGAAGATGGTCAATGAACTCAACTCTGTTTTCAAAATTGCCTTCATCCTAAGGCTGTTTTTCTGCCCTTCATAATTTTCTGCATTGTGAACTTTAACAGAAAAAAAAAATGTCTTCAGTAGAATTCTTGTACCCCATTTAAACGGAAAGTTCTTGAACATCTTTCCATAATAATGCAACTGGAGTCCTCAAGGGCTGATATAAACATTCAAAAGGACGGCTTAACATATTACCGACTCCTCTCACAGGTCCTAAATGTAGGCACTTTAATTAAGTGTTAATAGCAAAGCAATGTGAGACTATGACTGCTGTATAGATAATGTTAGGGAAGAAACAGTGTGGGGCAGCCTGGTTGGCTTCTCTCCTTCCTTGAAAGACCCAAAGCTAACTATCTCCTGATATGGAGAATATGAACCCTGTGCTGTATGAAATAGAAAAGTTAAGAATTCACAATAAAACCAGCAAATAATATTATTATTATAATATTTATTCAAAGAATCTGAAGTAAACAGTCACCTTGATGTAAAAAACCAAACATCAGTTGCCATATACACACATCCACAGACCTAACTGTACTAATACATTTTTTAATTTGCTCGCTTAGATGAATCTACTAAAGGAAACAAAATGCAAAGATCTGTTATTTCCTCCCTCTTTCATCTGCTTTCAACCCCAGACTCAACCCCAGCACCCAGCACTGAGCTCCCCACACAGCCCCCGGCTATTGGCCATCACACAGATCTTCATTCTGCCTGAGCCCGAGCCTTCTCTGGTGGTTCCACGCACAAGTCCCAGCATTCTGTGAGAGTGGAGTGTTGGGATGGACAGGAGCTTTTTCAGGTGCCATCTGTCCAGAGCAGCACTGTTGAGTAGAAATATAATGTGCACCACAAATGTAGGCCACACGTAATGGAAAGTGTTCTAATGGCCACTTTGAAAAAAGTAAAAAGAAATAGGCAAAATTAACGTTAATATATCTTATTTCTTTATTAAAGTGTAATTAATACACAATGTATGTAAGGTTCAGGTGTACAACATATTGATTTGGCATTTCTGTATTTCACTCAGAGCTCACCATGATAAGCGTAGACACCATCTGTTACCATGTGACATTGTTACGGTATTATTGACTATATTCCCTGTGCTGTATTTTTCATCTCTGTGATTTGTTTATTTTATAACTGGAAGTTTGTACCTCTTAATTCCCTTTTTCTATTTTGCCCATCCCCTCGACCTCCCCTTTGACAACCACCAGTCTGTTTTCTGTCTTTAAGAGTCTGTTTTTTGTTTGTTTGTTCATTTGTTTTGTTTTTTAGATTCCACGTATAAGTGAAACCATATGGTATTTGTTTGTCTTTCTCTGCCTGACTTATTTCACTTAGCATAATATCCTCTAACTCCATCCATGTTATCACAAAGGGCAAAATCTCATTATTTTTTTAATGGCTAAGTAATATTCCTCTGTGTGTTTGTGTGTGTGTGTGTGTGTGTGTATCTTATTTAACTCAATTTATCCAAAATATCTTTTATACATATAAAAATTATTAGTGAGATATTTTACATGTTTCTTTTTTTATACTAAGCTTTCAAAATTTGGTGTATATCTTACACTTACAGTACATCTCTATTTGGATTAGCCACTTTCAGGTATTCAGTAGCCATGCATACTTAATGATCTCATATTGGAGAACATGGGCCCAGAGGACACCGTGGTCACACATTCACAGAGGGGTGGGCAGGAAAATGGTATTACCTTTCACTACAGTAGCCATCACACTTTGGGAAACACTGCCACTGGATTTTCCACAGCCCGAGTTCATAATATCAAGGGATCTCTCTAGACTGAGATTCTGTAGTTGACCCTAAAATTGCCCGCAATCTCCTCAGAGATGTTTCAGGAACTCCATACTAGGGATTGATTACCCCATTTTAGAATAGATACTTCAAACTGGAATAGTCCTGGTGGGACTCACTTTGGTCTGAATTGCTACTCTTTTGGGCCGTTGCTGAAACTACACAAAATTCCAGGCTAGAGGCTGAGGAGCACTTTGTTAGATACTGGATTATATTTTTTCCTCTTTCTCCAGGCAAATTCTGTGATTTTACAATCCAAGCTTTCAAAGTTGTTGATTGTCAATGAGCTGCTCCTGTAGTATTTCTACCATACTCTAATTCTATTTTATCTCAAGCCATGTGTACAGTCAATATGGAGTGTGAAAAAACTGTTTAAAGCATAAAGCCATTTTTTTAAAAATTATCCTTACTGCATGTAAAAATAGCCTGCATTCTGTCGTCTTGAGTGAGGATTGTTTAGACTAGGCACACAGCTCTGCTGTCTGAATCTACTCAGTTCTGTTTCCATTGACAATATAGGTCTGGCCTAACTATACCGGGTTTGTTGGGGTCTTTTTTTTTTATGTTTTTCTTAAAGGAAACTATTTAAACATGAAAAATAACTAGTTTTGAAGATTTGGGCATTTGTAGTCCAATGAGTCATAAAATGGTAGAATTACATATTTTCATAGATGATGAAAGAGAGGCCATCCAGGCAAACCCCTTATATTGTAGATGTGGACAGTTCTCCTTAAAATATCTTAAAGTCTTGAGGTGCCTGGGTGGCTCAGTCAGTTAAGCATCCAACTCTTGATCTCAGCTCAGGTCTTGATTTCAGGGTTGTGAGTTCAAGCTCTGCATTGGGCTCCACACTGGGCATGGATCCTACTTTGAATAAATAAATAAATAAAATATATTATTTTATATAATAATATATCATGTTATATGAAATAAGTACATATATAATATATATTTATATATAAATATATATATGAAAATCTTGATCTGTATTTTAATCCAGAGGTTTTTCAAAAATCAAGATATTTCAAATCATTTACATTCTTAGGAAATGATCATAATTTAAAATTTTTTAAAATTTAGTTCATTGATTCAACAATCATTTATTGGGCGTCTCTTATGTGCTACAAGTCTGGTAGATGCTGAGAACACACAGACAAATGATTTCATTCCTGTTCATATTTATTCCAATATATTATGATATACTATGATAGAACTCTACACGATTTGTAATGCTTTCAATAAACAACTAATAGTTTAACCAACGTATTATTGTTATATACAATATATAAAGATTCTTTTATTTCGTGGTTAACCACAGTGGTAACATTAACAAGAAACTACAACTTTAGCCAGAGACACTATAATAATGTAGCAGAAGACATTCAATGACAGATAGAAGGTTATTAAAACACTACAATGCTTACCACAGGAGAGTGGGATTTTATGTATAAATAAAGTTATTTCTTCAAGGTCCATTCAAGGAAATGTACCTGCAAGCAATGAAAAACAAAATGCTTGTAATTACTTTGTCGTATCCTCTAGCCCAGCACCCCCACCCCTCTGTTGCTCTCCCTTTAGGCAAGTGAGCCTGAAAGTGGTGTGGGGACAAACAGCCTGCTTGTGCAGCCTGAGCTTAATTACCAGCAGTTTTGAGGAGTGCTGACGACACTAGCTGGTCGATATCTGGAAGATGAGTTTGGATGTAGTATCCCCACTGTAGAGAGAGAAAACCTCCAGCTCCAGCCATTACCATTTCTAGGACTCCAGAATCATTCACCAATCATATATGTCTCCACAAATATCAAAGGTTTAGTACTCTTGATATTCTTTTGTAATTTAAGCATCATGAAATTCCAAACTCTTGAATATGAAATTCTAGAATATGAAATTGCTAATGGAAGATTGTTTATAGAAAAAAAAGACTAAAAATGTTTAAAATCTGGCACATATAGGCACTCAATATTTGTTGAATAAGTGAATGTAAGGACAATAGAATATAATAAATTTCATTTGGTATCAGATTACTAGGCCACCTAATATTTATGATGAATGTAGTTCATGGGAAAGTGTTGCTCTATGAAATAATTGTATATACTTAATCTCAAATTTAAGAATCAGTCATTGTTGAGTCATCTATGAATTTATCTAGATATTTTTAATTTCTGTGATAGTTGCATAGTCTATATGATTTTTAGGAATAATTTCCAAATGTTTATATTACACTGTAAAGATATACTTCTGTTCAAAAATTGCCATTTTTTAAAGATTTAATTATTTATTTGACAGAGAAAGAGAGAGTACAAGCAGGGGGAGCAGCAGAGGGAAAGAGAGAAGCAGTCTCTCCACTGAGCGGGGAGCCTGATGCGGGACTCCATCCCAGGACCCTGGGATCATGACCTGAAGCGAAGGCAGTTGCTTAACTGACTGAGCCACCCAGGTGCCCCCAAAACTGCCATTTTTATATCTCTTACTTATATTCCAATGATATGGTAGTTAGTGGAAAAAAACAAAAAAGTATTTTCCTGGATATATTTTGAAGCAATTCAGGGATAAGTTTTTAAATTTACTTTTCATCTTCATGTAATGTTGGAAATGGCTCTCAGATTAAATGATCATCTAGTATATGGAGGAGACTTCTATTGGAAAACTCTATACTAACTGAATGCTAATGGATCAAGTAGTCAATTGGATATTGAAAAACATTATTAAGCATGACAGATATTATCTATAGAGTAGGGCAAACAAATTTAAAATTCTATGTATAAGAAAGTAAAAAATAAGGATTAAAATACTTTGAAGTGCATAAATTACATAAGTTTTAACAAGGGAAATTTTAGGGGAAATATGAAAAGTCCTAAAAATTTATGTACTGTTTGATTGAGCAATTCTGTCCTCGTGTTGCAGGATTGCAGGGTTCTTGTCTCACGGAGTCGAAGAATGAATCTCACGGACACAAAAGGGTGAAGTGAAGTGAAAGTTAGTGAAGGTAAGAGAAGAAAGGAAAGAAAAAAGCTCTCTAGAGTGAGAGGGGTCCCAAATGGGTGGCCACTGAGGGCTCTTAGGGGCAGGCTTTTGTTGAGAACTTACTGGGAAGCTTGTGGCCTTGAGATTCTTGTGCTGTCTTGGTTTGTTCCCTTATCTCTTGTTCAGCTCTGTCTCAGCATCTCCACCTGCCAGGAATAGTTTCGGAGCCTAGTGTAGAGTCAGGGGCCTCCTATCTCTCCCATCTATACCTTACCCGCTTCCCTACTCATGGGACAGGACCTGTGGCCAGAAAGAGCTGTACTGGGATTGTGAGGAGTGACTGATTGTATACTTTTCAATTGGTGGGGATTAGGGATAGCGCAAGTCTCCAAGGAATCTGGAAGCAAGACTTTCAGGACCTTGAGGGGCCAGCTGCTGCCAAGACAGAGTTACTTTTAAACATTAAGGCACTAAAGGCAGCCACGAGTTCCTTGAGGAAGGTCACGCTCTGCATGCTTCAGGTATCTATCAGTGGGCTGCGAACTATAAGGAGATTTCAATTTAAGCTACATTTCTTTTGCTTTTGTTTCCCACATCACTGGGGCTATATCCTAAAGAACTATTCATGGACATGTGTAAAAAAGTTATTAAGGGGCACCTGGGTGGCTCATTCAGTTAAGCAACTGCCTTTGGCTCAGGTCATGATCCCAGGGTCCTGGGATTGAGCCTCGCATTGGGCTCCCTGCTCAGTGAGGAGTCTGCTTCCCCCTCTGCCTCTGCCCCTCCCCCTGCTCATTCTCTCTCTCTCTCTCAAATAAATAAAATCTATAAATAAATTAATTAATTAAATAAAATAAAAAGTTATTAAGAATAAGCTTCACTGGGGCTCCTGGGTGGCTCAGTCAGTTTAGAGTCTGCCTTTGGCTCAGGTCATAGTCCTGGGGTCCTGGGATTGAGCCTCACATTGGTCTCCCCGCTCAGTGGGGAGTCTGCTTCTCCCTCTCCTTCTGCCTGCCAACCCCTCTGCTTGTGCTCTCTCTCTCTGTCAAATAAATAAATAAATCTTAAAAAAAAATGAGCTTCATCATTAGAATTCATAATATAAAAATTAAAAATGATTTGGTATATTTACATATATTATGACCCAACCCTATGATAGAATACTATGCATATTTTATATATGTATAAATATAAGAATGTCTTAGATATAATGTTTTATTTTTTTTTAAAGATTTTATTTATTTATTTGACAGAGAGATACATAGCGAGAGAGGGAACACAAGCAGGGGGAGTGGGAGAGGGAGAAGCAGGCTTCCCGCCGAGCAGGGAGCCCGACGCGGGGCTCGATCCCAGGACCCTGAGATCATGACCCAAGCCGAAGGCAGACGCCTAACGCTGAGCCACCCAGGCACCCCAGATATAATAATGTTTTAGAAGAATATTTAGTGGGGCACCTGGGTAGCACAGGTGTGCCTGTGGCTCAGGTCATGATCCCAGGGTCCTGGGATCGAATCCCTCATTGGGCTCCCTGCTCATCTGGGAGCCTACTTCTCCCTCTCCCTCTGTCACTCCCCCTGCATGTGATCTCTCTCTCCCTCTGTCAAATAAATAAATAGAATCTTAAAGAAAAAGAATATTTAGTGACATATTTTACATGTCATACCAAAAAAGAATAGGGAAAAATAAATTTATAAAACCAATGGACTTTATGACTTCATCTTTGGTTAAAATGTACAGATATATGCATAGAAAAAAGACTGAAATTATGATATAAAATATTAATAGGTGTTACCTCTGGGTGGTATGCTTATAGATTTTTATGTTCTTTTTTTGGTATATTTTCCATATTCTACAATTAGCATGTATTCTTTCTATGATCACCTTTTCAAATTTATTTTTTAAAAACTCTCCTTGTTAGCTGTTTTACTGAATTTAAAGTAATGATTTTATATAGCGGCGCCTGCGTGGCTCAGTCGTTAAGCATCTGCCTTTGGCTCAGGTCATGGACCCAGGGTCCTGGGATCAAGCCCCACATCAGGCTCCCCGCTCCACGGGAGGCCTGCTTCTCGTCTCCCACTCCCCCTGCTTGTGTTCCCTCTCTCGCTGTGTCTCTATCTGTCAAGTAAATGAATAAAATCTTTAAAAAAAAAAAAGGTAATGATTTTATATTTAAAAAAAACTCAATAGTTTAAGAACAAAAACAGTCCTTAGTACAGGCTAGAGAGATTATCGTAAAAAATGAGGAAAGCATCACTTATAAACATGCAAGAGAGCATTAAAAGGCAGGGATTCTCTCTGCCCCACCTCTCTGAAAGTTAAATGTCTATCTATGGAGAATCCGGGAAGTAAGGGTATAATTTTTAAGTATTAGTAATGATGAATAAATTGTTCTTTAATTTTGCTTTAAAACAGTTTGCATAATGAGGAAAATTCACCAAGGATATTTTAAACCTTGGCTTGATTCACCCAACTCGTCTTAGGGAGAAAGTAATTTTTCTACTTCTCACAGTCATTAAAAAGGACGCTGTGCTACCTTGTTCTCCCTGGTGGAAGAAAGATAGGTAGTGTGTCATCTTTGTACATACATCCTACTATTCAAGCATTCAGCAAGACAGAGTAGGGTATGAGCTATTTCATTATGGATATGCAAAGTAGTGACTCGTCTAATCCTTCCAGGAAAGACATTTCTTAACAAATGACATAGCAGTAGGCACCAGGTGTTACAAATCCCAGCTGTCATCCACAGAACTAAGAGTGATGTGGGAAACAAAGGCAAAAGAAAAATTAAATTTTCTTACTACCTATAGCCCACTGACAAGTCCCTGAAACAGGCAGAGTGACATTCCTCTAGAAACTTGGCTGCCTCACTCAATGTCAATAGAGCAGAAGGCAAACTTAGCCCGACCCCCAGGATCCTGTAAGTTACTTTAACATATAAAAATTCCCTTGGAAACTTCCTTTATCTCTACCCCCCAAGATACAGGTTGGCAATCATCCGCCAAGCATATGACACACTGATATACATCTGAAAGGTCTCATGACTAAGGTTTTACTAGACAGTAATAAATGACCTTTCCCCAACAATAGCTAGCCCCCTCAAGGTCATGGAAACCTTGCTTCCATAATTCCATAGAGACTTTCGCTATCACCCTCCCAACTTGAAAGTATATAATGGGCCACTCCTCATGACCCCAGTGCAGCTCTTTCAGCCCACAAGTCCTGGCCCCATGCTTTCATAAAACCACCTTCTTTCTTGGCCATCGGCTTCGAACCCTAACATCTTTCCTACATAAGTAGGATGTTATGAGAGATATCTTGGCAACTCCTATGCAGTAATGTTTGTTAGTTTTTCTTTTTTAAAGAGTAGCATATTCCAGGGCGTCTGGGTGGCTCAGTCGGTTAAGCGTCTGCCTTCTGCTCAGCTCATGATCCCAGTGTCCTGAGACTGAGCCCCACATCAGGCTCCCTGCTCAGCAAGGGAGCCTGCTTCTCCCTCTCCCTCTGCCCCTCCTCATGTGTGCTCTCTCTCTCTTACTCACTCTGTCTCTCAAATAAATAAATAAAATCTTTTAAAAAAAGGAATAATGTGAACGATAATAATTGTTAAGCAACAAAAGCCCATCTATCTGGTTCAACTCCTGCCCTCCCCAAGACAAAAGCTGATACTGTCACCAACCAGACCCCAAGACCTGACCTTTACTGCTCACCTGCTTGTACCCACTGACCTTTGTCCCACATTTTTCCTTAAGCTCTTTTTCCACCTTATCTCTTACTCTGGCAAAAGACCTGACTAGCCTCCTGTGAAGGAAACTGAAACTACACCTTGAGCAATAACAACTGCCCAGATGAAGAGCTCCAGCAGCCCAGACCACTCAGACCAGTTTGAGCTTAACTCCTGACTCACACCTACGCAGATGGACCATGGAGTGACCCATGGAGTGACCCATGAAGTGACTGACACTATCCTTACCTCATTGTAATACTAAAATCCCCACCCCAGGAAGAGCACAAGCCTCATTTACATGACGATACAATGTATTTATAGGCATGTGTCCTTAAGGTGCAAACTTGACTTTATGCCTGCCTCTACATACAATGACAAGGCTCTCCTTTCTAAATATTCATCTTAACCCTAAATAAAAGGAACCCATTCACCCTTGCTTGGGGAGCAAGGGCTTTGGAAGTTATACTTATTTGCTGCAAATAAAGTTTCCTTTGTGTGATAACTGCACTCTCATTCATTCAGTTAACGATGTGTACTAAACCTGTGAGTTGGTGAGAACCTCCTCCATTTAGCTCAGGGAAAACATTTGCCCAAAGTGCAGCCAGTCTTAAGATTACCCACTATCTTCACACTCTAAGGATTTGTCTTAGTTTCTTCTGCTTCCAGAGACATTTTAGGGATATAGAACCAGGGAATGTGTAACACAGACAAATAGGTCTCATCCAGGTAAATTCTCTAAGTACTATGCCAGTTGTCTGGTCGTTAAGACATGAAGCAAATGAAATGATATGATTAATAATTTTAGCTACATTAAACTTAAAATTTCTATTTATCTAGGGCCTTAAAAACAAAGTAATCAATATAAAGGAGGGAGAAGGTGTTTGCAAGGCATAGAAAAAAGGATTAAGATCCATAATAAAGAACTCTTACAAAGAATATGACAACCCAAACAAAAATGAGCAAAGATATAAACAGGTATATCACAGAGAAAGAAAAACCCAATAGCAAAAACATGAAAAGAAGCTCTGCTACTACTAATTAAGAAATGCAGAAAATAATGGATCATGGATCACCACATCAAAAACCAATGATGTATTGTATGGTGACTAACATAACATAATAAACTTAAAAAAATAATAATAAATTAAAAAAAAAAAAGAAATGCAATTGGCGTGACCACTGTGAAAAACAGTATGGAATTTCCTCAAAAAAATAAAAATAGAAATACCATACAATCCAGTAATTCCAATAGTAG